AGAACCGCCTCCAGTATTTTTAATCTCTCTTAAATGAAGTAAATAATTATACCCATCATCAGGAAATCCCAGCTCTAGAATTTCCCTCCTCTCTTGCTCCAGCAGCCGACCTGTTTCGGTCGTGGACACACGGGTAGAGCGACCAATAAGCGTATCGCAATCCTCGCCATCATCATCATCGGGTGCATCTTCGAATCTAGAATCGTCATCGTACGCGATCTCCTGGTTGTGCTGGTGGTTATCGCCCTCGAAAAAAGCGTCGAAGGAGACGGGGTTGTTGTCGACTCGGACGAAGACTCGGTCGCTGCCGGGGGTTTCGTAGTAATTGGGATCGGAGGAACCCCGGACGAGCAATTGGAAGGTTACCGATTTTTTCTTGTCGATGAATTTCTTCTTTTTACCCATTTTGAAGAAGATTGAAGCAGCTTTGCTGGAAGGAGATAGGCACCACTGGTATTAAGCGATTGAAGAGATTTATGTGTCTCTGTGATAAACCCCAGGGAAGCGCGGTGGCGAAGATATAGTGGACATCAATCATCTGGTAACATTTAAATTTTCTCAATTATCTTAATTTCCTCCATTATCTTAAGTGAGTTTGAGAATCATACTATTCTTATCTTCTCACAAGATTGATTTGGGTGGAAAATCATAAATACAAAACGAAATAAATATTAAACAATCATGCCCCAAAAACTTTCATACTAATCACGTTCACAGTGCAAGGCAGCAGCCATATAAGCATGAGCGGGAAGAAATTTAAAATACGTGATATTAAAAAAAAAAAAATTCATTAGGTGCACTTACAACATCCAAATCGAAAATTCATAAGATTTGATATAATTCATACGTGATATAATTTAAGTTTCAAATTCTATCCGTATGAAGAATTCACAACGTACTCAACTAAACTAAATTAAAGGGTAACATACCTTAAATACCAACTATAAAAATTAATTAAAATGTAAATAAATATATTTACAATGTTGCATAAATGAAGAATAATAATATTTAAGGAAGATGACTAATTATTAAATTCAAATATGTACCATTAAAGAACGAAAAAAACAATTACTAGTAACGTAATTACGAAAAATTATTGTACAGTATTAAATTACACAATAAATTATTAAAATTGGAGGCCCTTTCTCATCAGATTATCCCTATTTTACAATAGGAATTGCAAATTATGGAGACATCTAAACTGTTTCTCCTACTACACCTTCAATTGAAAATAATCAACTAACACTAAAACCTTTGTTTCCTCTCCTTCGATTCAAACTAATTGATGTCCCAATAATACTTCCCGAAGTGAGGAACATGTACCTGAGAAGGCAAACTTGCATCTGCTTGATACTGCCCCGACATCGGTTGTATTGGAGGCCCAATGTATTGAACCGGAACCGCGCAACGATTATTGAACATCCCATTAACTACCATGCCAGCCGCTGTCTGCGGTTCATAATGGCTGGCCTCCGAGAATGGAACCAGCCCATTGTGTGTGCTGCTCTTGCTGGACGCTCCGGAAGGGAGCTCATCATGCATCAGCAATGTCATCATCGGATTGTCCACCGGGGTAATATCATTTCCGTATGGTTGAAATTGGATGGATTGATCGTAGGGACAACAATAAGGAGGCAATTGGGTGTGGAATTCTGGTTCTGAAACTTCAAAATCCAAATTACTCTGAAAATTAGAGAAATTTGGTACATTCCCAGATTTAGAAACTTCCAATGGGGAAGGGGCTTTTGTGGTTGTGGAACCATCAAAATTCAAGACAGTTAGTGAGAAGACTACATTGAGGCAGGATTTAAGCAATGCTCTTCAGATTAGGGTTTTTCAGAGAGTGACAAGATTGAGTCGTTGCGAGGTTGATCTTCTGAAGAAGGAAATGAGTGAAAATGATGTTCCTATATCCTACTCTGGTGGTGGTGGTCCTCAGAAATCCATTCGCAAGACTAATTTGGAAGAAATTCTACGCAGGTTACTCAATTTTCTAGAGCCTGAAACTTTTCAAGGAGCTGTGAAAGCCATAAATGAAAAAAATCCTTTCTGTCTTGGATGAAACAGGCTCGGGGAGGGTGGATTTGGGCATGTTTTATGCAGTTATTGCTCCCATTTGCGGTGGATCTCCAGATAAGCGAAAAAGGGTTGCCTTTGATGCACTTTTATGGCGACCAGTGAATGAAGGCAGTTCTCAGATAAGAAAGGTGGATGTTGCGAAATACATCAAATTGTTGAGGGCTATTTATGTTCCGTCTGATGGGGTAACCGAAGTGCTTATCTTTCAGTGAGTTTGTAGTAATGTTTGATGATCCAGATCGGGGTTTTGGTGTCATGTCAACTCTGATGAAGCTCGCATCTGGAGATAGGAATCGCCATGGACACCATGTTTGCTCAGTTTGCCACTACCCAATTATTGGTTCCTGTTTTAAGGAGATTAAGAGCATATTTGAGTTAGTTTGTAAGAGTTTTTATTTTATTTTTTTGCACTGTTCATGAATGATAAATTTAAATTTTTATTGGAAACTGAATTAAACATGCTTTAAGTCTCATTTTAATCTATGTAGTCATTGCTACAAGTGAGGGAAAGGTGCCTTCTAACTTTAAGCAGGACGAGTACAAATTTAAGGAGTATGGACGTGAGGCTGAAGTGATGAAAGATAAGTGGATGTGCTTTACTTAGCAATCCCATAAGATCTATAGCTAGTTGACTTAAAACTCTTTGGGTTAATCCTGTATCATTCCAATATTTTAGTTGTGAAGTGTGAAATATAAATAGCTCACAATTGTGTTCAGCGGGCTGCATGCCCTTGTATAATAAAATCGTTTTCAATTGTGGCTCCATTATTGTTTGTGGATAAACCCTTCATGCCTGAGTTGTTTTTGATATTAATAAACTACAGATGTCAACTCTCTTCCACTGCTTGCTTGCGGTCCATGGCATGTAACCATGGTTTCGCCTGTGACTTCAGTTTATGAAGGCTAGTTTTGTTTGGCTCTAGTAACCAAGAAGCCTAATTTCTGTATAACTACAGCCATCCTCATTGCTAATATTGCTGCAATTTATGTTGCTTATCTTCATGATTTCTCTACACCTCGAGCATTCATTATCATTATTCGTCAGCTGTGCTTTATCCAAGTGTTGATTCCCAGTCCCACCTGTACCTGAGTGCATCATGCCTTAGCTGGTGACTGAAGGAACCGGCATGGCAATTGAAGATTCTTATAATGCTTTATAAAGAAGGAAAATGATGTTTTTCCATGCAGGCAGCGAAAAACTAATACAAAACCTGTTGGAAGAAGAGTTAGTTAATTACTTATCCGATTGCGGTTTCGCACGAAGTCATCACCATTGTTGTCAAAATCTAGATTTAAATCTTAAAATCTTACAATTTTATGATTTCAGTAAGACATTTCGTGTAAAATCTATACTAAAATCTAAAATTCATAAAATATGGGGATTTCACGATAAAATCTAGATTTTATCGTGAAATAATGTGAAATCAGGTAAAATCTCGATTTTACCTTCTGTTTGGCAGCTGGACTTTTAGCCTATTTTCTTTTGAACTTCTCATCTTGGGTTAGTGAGTTTTGACTAAATAACCCATAAATTAAGCTCATTTTTCATTTTAAAAACCCACAACCCATACAACTCAACCACAAATCAACATTTTAATCGGGAATTCGGGACAAATTTGATTTAACCATCTAAAATTCTAAATTTAAGTCATTTTCTTCGTTTAATTTAT